TTCCATAGAGAGACTTTTCCCAGGGTTTTTCCATGTTTTATTTTTGCAGTGGGCCCTATTCTCCAACTACCATCAGCCCAAAACTTCCACTTCAATCCCTCTTAGGAAGACAGCCCCAGGGACAAAGGGGCACTCCAGGGCTTAACGGACACCTTCTCCCTCAAAGTCTCTGATTCTCAGTCTCCATCAACCTGAGCCAGGTACACAGGACAGAGCTTCCTGAGGAAAAGTTTGTGGAGAGGACTCAGTTCAGGCCAGCACACTATTTCAGGCAAAATGCTTTAAACTGTAAATATAAAACCAAGGCAACTAGGTTAACAACAGGAAACTGTCTTTGGTCACAAGATGTCACTCTGCTATGAGGGTTGATAGTGTGGATAAGTTCAGCAGCTCCATCCCATAATCTGGTGCCCAGTGTTGTACCCCATCTCACCCACCAGCCTATGTGTGGGAATCATGCCTTTTTCCTCTACCCTCCTTGTTGCAAGACAGCTGCCCATCCCAATTGACACCACACTGTCTGGAGGAGGAGGGCACAGCCACCCTCGTCCCCCTCTGTAAGAGTGAGGAACATTTTCCCAAAAGTGCATAAGCACATGTCCTGACCAGAACTGAAGCACACACTGGTTCCTAAATTTGGGAAGGGGAAGGTTGTGATCATGACCATTAGACTGAATAGCCTGCCATATTAGCAAGCAATAGCAAAGCATCCATCTCTTTGGAGCACACAAACACCATTGGAAGCAAACAAAATTCACTACTGTTTGAAAAAAAGAAGGAAGAATTGCTGTGGGTTTCAGCCAGAGCTTCCCAACCAGCTCAGAGAAAATGGTCCCAAGAAGGGATGAAGCTATGGGGCTGGTAACATTCGATGCAAGTAGCCCTATCTGTATACTTCAGGGAGCTCCACAAATGCTCAAATACCAGCATTTCTGGGGCCAGGAAGGTGGGACTGAAGTGCTCTCAGCAAGATATGTCAAAATTAGGGAAGGTTTTAGTTGATAAGCACAGTCTACCAATCCAAGAAAAAAAAAAATATGTCAAATCATACATTTTAAAAACTTGATCTTAAGGGTCACATAAATACAGAGGTTTTAAACTTGTTCAATGTTTAAAGAGGAAAAATAAAATACATTAAAAAAAAAATTGATAGCCTGTAGGGGACTTCCGGTAAAATGGAGGAATAGGCAGACAAGTGACACAGACCCTCTTCAACAAAGAATACAAAAACCAATTGACAGAGATACAGAAGATAATCCTGGAGCCCTGAGCTTTGAATGGAACTATGCAGAAGTGGATTAGGCACCAACTAGTGGAAAAACCTGAACAAAAACAGTGAGTACAGAGATGGTCAGAGCTATGGACTGTCAGCTACTCTGACAGGACCAACAGCCTGAATATTTCCAAGTGGTGTTAGGACCTGAGAATTGACCTAAAGATCAACCCTGGTCACCAAGGGCTGCAGGGACAACTGTGCTGGTGTCCTGTGACTAGGAAGGGAAACAGCAAGGAGGGAGATAACCTGAGCTGCTGTCTTTCCACTGTCCAGAGGGTGCAGCCATTTTGATTGTTTACATGCAGCCGCCATTTTGGATATTTAAAGTGACCGAAGACGCAGCCATTTGAATGTTTATAAGTGGGTGCAGCCATTTGAATGTTTATAAGTGGCAACCGTTTTGGATTTTAAAGTGATGACATTCTCACTCGGATGCCAGGGAGCTAAGAATGGGCTCTGTTTGCAAGGTTAGCAAGGATATACAAGAGGCTGACAACAAGAAAGGAGACAGGTGCTGAGTGTATACGTGCTGTCAACTAGCAAATAGAGGTGCACAGTACCTTGCTTGAGTAGATAACATACAAACAAAACAAAGAAAATGAAAATCATGGGCAAGTCACTCCAACATACAATCACCAATTAAATATAAACACAAAACTGTCACAATGCCTTGGAGACAACAGAGCATCACAATCCACACAAAGAAGGAAGATAAACCAGGAGAAACCAGACCAGGATACAGAACAGAACACATCCCTGAGGAAGAAGCAGCATTGGAACTCCCTGATAAGGAATTCAAAAGAATTATATTTAGGTATCTTCAATGAATTGAGAGACAGATTAGGGAAAACACAGAGAAAACCATAGAACAATTTCAAAAGACAATACAATGACAAAATAAATGAAAAATAAAAAATGATACAAAATCTACACACAGAAATCCAGAAGATTAATACTAAATTTTCAGAAATAGATAAGACATTGAATGGGCAAAGAAGCAGAATTGAATCAATGGAAGACAATTAGGGAGATTGAAGGCAAATAGCTGAACACTTCTTTGGAAAGGGATCAATCAGAGAAAAAAAAAGAGCAAAACAAACTGAAGAAAGCCTAAGGTTCATGTGGGATACCATCAAAAGGAATAACCTACATGTAATTGGAATTCCAGAACAGGAAGAGAAAAATAAATCCACAGAGAAAATTGTCGAAGATTTGTTGGAAGAGAATTTTCCTGATATGATGAAAGATGAGAATATATCCATTCAGGAAGTCCAACAAACCCCCAACAGGATAGACACAAAAGAAAATCAGCCAGATATATCATCATCAAACTTACCAAAACCAAAGAGAAAGAAAGAATCATGAGAGCGGCATGGGAAAAACGAAAAGTTACATACAAGGGACAACCAATAAAACTAAGCTCGGATTTCTTGGCAGAAACCATGCAGGCGAGAAGACAATGAGATGGCATATATAAAACCCTGAAAGAGAAAAATTTCTGACCTAGAATCATATACCCAGCAAAATTGTCCCTCATATATGATGGTGGAATTAGGACATTTCCAGATAAGCAGAAATTAAGGGAATTTGTTTAAACCAGATCAACCTTACAAGAGATGATAAAGGGAGCCCTTTAGACAAGAGAAGCAACAACAGTCAACAACAACTGACCATTAACACACATGATGATATAACCCAGAAACCAACCCAGCTATGGAAGTATCCAAAGTAAATAAGCCTACAAGATTGTAAACAGGGAACTAGAGACATCAATTGACAAATGAGGACAACTGCAAACCAAAAAGAGGGAAAAAACTGTGTCATTACAGAACTTCTAGATGGTAGGGAAGTCAAGACAACTACAAGATAAAACAGACTGTTCTAAACTTGGAAAAAAAACTACAAATCACAGGGCAACTCAAAAATATGATAAACCTTCACATCAAAAAAGAGGACCAGCATAAATATTCAGCAAATACTAAAACAATAGCAATGAAGGAAGTGATAACACAATTCACAAACAAAACGAGCTCAGCATAGAAAATTATATGGAACAAAGAAATCGACCCCACGAAAAAATACAAAACAAAAATGACAGCAACAAATTCATATTTGCTGATAATTACATATCTGGCAAAGGACTTATCTCTACGATATACAGAGGAAGAGTGGATGACCAGACTATGGTACATACATATAATGGAATGCTATGCAGCACTAAAGAATAATGTAGAGTCTGCAAAGCACCACATAATATGGATGAACTTGGAGGACATAAGTCAATCACAGAAGAAAAAATATAGTATTAGTTCATTGTTGTGGAGGGTCAAGGAAAGGTTTATATATGGAGGGAAACTTTCTTTGCTGGTTGCCAGGGGTGGGGGGGGGGGGGCGGGCACTGCACTGCAAAAAAAATGCATTGATCCATGTCACTTTAGTTTTGTATATTTCACTGTACATAAATTATATTTCAATATAATGCATTAAAAATGATAGCCTTTAGATGATGCCATGAGCTCTTAATCAAATTAATCATTCAAATTAAAATAATTTTAATAGCAAAAAAAAAATCTATTAACTATATGAAGGCATATGTATTCTCAATGAAGGAAAACGTAAGACTGACTATGTCTGAATTTTCCGTTATTGTAAGGATTTTTTCCCCTAATTTGTTTAGTTTTTTGTGGTCTATTATATATGAGCAAAAGAGCAATAGATTTCAGAAAAATATCTGGGAAGAAAGCTAAAATTTTATAAGTCCATTAGGAAAATAAGAATTAGTGAAAACCCACCATTATCCAGTTTTCAAGACTGAGCTTCCTGACCCAGCTCACTTAACATACTACGTTGAGAACCAGCAACCCAGCCAAACTCTCATTTATTTTTGCAAAAGTTACAAATTAAGGCTCACAGATCTCTTTGGATCTCCCCAAGGTCACCCAGTTAATTATTGCCATATAACTCCCCTCCTAAAGAATCATAATAGCTCCCCCAATCACATGCTGGGGATGCTTATCCAATATAAAGGAAGGTCCATTTGCGTTGGGGCCTGGGCTAAGTATGCTCTGGTCTGAGTCCAAGTCTGCCACAGACTGGCAAAGCATCCTAATCCACCTCTAAAGCAAAGAATGAAGCTTGGAATTCATTTCAAAAGTTGTTTCTACTGGTGAATTAAAGGCATATCCCTCTCTCCCCACACACACAAACACGGACCTCCATGTGCTCCATCTCCTCTGGGACTAGCTCCCCCCAAACCCTGGGCAGCTGTCAGGCCCAGGTGAGACTTCCCCATCACTGTCTGGTAAGGAAGGGCCCTTGGTTCCCTCCTCAGCTTTCTACTCCCAGCCAGAAACAGTTAATTCCCTGCTTGCTGGAGCTGCCCCAGCCCAGCCCTAATCAGCCTAATCACAGGCAGCAGAAAAGCAAGGCTGCTGCACTCTAGGCCAGCCACAGGCTGTGTGGAGCAGAGGAGGCATTCTTCCAGGTAATGATTAAGCTGAGTGCCTGGCAAGGGCACGGTGGCAGACCCAAAAAGGTGATCCGTATTCACACCTCCACAAGGCTGCAGTGGCCAAGACCAGTTTGGGAAGGCAGAGCCACGGGGTTCGGGGCCTGGAGCCAGCAGCTACAGCCTTCTGCCTGCAGACTGGTGTCCAGGAACATCGCAGACCAGAGCTTCTGCTGCCTGACCTGTTGGGATTCTGCCCTCGCTGCCCCCAGCACCATGAAGCTCCAGTTGTTCTGGACTGGGCTGGAATACACCTGCCGGCTCCTGGGCATTGCCACTGCTGCAGGTAAGACCTTGCCTCACCCTGCTGTCTCTGCACACTAGGCACAGCAGACAGGACTGCTTAAGGGTGGGAGGTGGTCAGCTGGCCAAGCAGGCATAACTATAATATGAAATTATGTCCCTCACTCCCCTCACTTTTCTCCCAGGGCCCCCAGCAGCCCTGCTCTGCAGGCAGCAGCAGCACAGTGGAGTGAGCTTGGGCTAGCATGCCCAGCATGCAATCTCTGCTTGGCAGCCAACTCTCCCTGTGCCTAAGGGCCAGCCTCATTTTCTTCATTGGGGAAGGAGGTCCATGGGAGTGTGATGAGGCAGAGGCAGAATATTGAAAGGGAAGGGGTAGAGGCCAGGCAAACATGAGAACTAGATGCTTCACTTTACACACATGAAAATGATAAACTGCGAACATCTTTTTTGTTCAAACAGCAGTCCTGTTTCAAGGAGAGAGACTCCTCAATACTAAAGGGCTGAACATGGATATTTCACCCTTCCCTTGGCCACTCCTGGGCCCCAGTAACCAAAGGTCTCCTGTCTATTGCCTGCTGCAGGAGTCCACTGTGGTTTTGGGGGATTATGGGCCCTCAGCTGGACTTTCTTGATACAGCTTCTCTCTTTCACCCAGCTTGGGAGTCATGCTTGCTCAATTCACTGGGAAGAGAGAGCAGAGCCAGCACTCACTGTGGTCCTGAGCTCTGCCACTCACTTCCTCAAAAAGACCTGACCCTTAGCCTTGTGACCCCAACTCAGCCAGCATCTGTGCTGGGGATGTGAGCAGCAGCAATCTTAGACTTTAGCTCCGGTCCCCTTGTCCCTTAGGGACCAAGGAAGAGACTTCTCCTGCCTATCAAAGGCCTTCCCTCCCACTGGACAAAAGTTTACACAAAGATCTTGCCAATGGGAAAGTTCCCCAAGTTTGAACTCACACAGTGCTGACTCCTCCTCTAACCCCACCATTTAGCAGATACATGACCTCAGGAGAGCCACTTGGAATGCACTTTCTGATCTGTCCAAGGGAGAGCACTAGACCTGCAGGCCAGCGTATTTGGGAGGATCAAGGAGGCATGGACACAGCATAGCTAAATGGAAGTGGGAATGTAACCCTCTGTGGAAGGTCCCCACGACATCCTCCAAAGTCCGGTGGAGATCTGCATCTTCCCCAGAGGACACTGGGTTGGGACCACTGGTGATCTAGTTGATCTAGTAAGTGGGTCCTGTGAGCATCTAGACCATGGTTTAGATCAGGAAGGGCTGATAGGGATCCTCTGGTCCTATACCTCTTTTTACAAGATGGAGTAACAGAGCTTAACTAGGGGAGGTAACCTTGCCCAAGGTCATGCTGTGGGTTAGAGGGAGAGCCAGCCTAAACTTCCTTCAGTAAAAGCCAGGGCTCTGCCAAAATCCCTTCCTGCACTCCAGGTAGAAGCCCTGCGTCACCTGAAAGAAGAAGGGGTCTCAAATTACTCTTTTGAGGGTCCTAAGTGTATGGGCATGATGGGGGATCCAACTTCAGCCCATTTTGGAACACAATGTCACCTATTGTGCATGTCCCTAGCAGCCCATCCTGGGAAGGCAAGGCTAGCCTAAATAGGTTTTGAGTCCTGGATGACACTGTTGACCTTGAGTCCACCCTACCCCCACGCCCAGTCCTTGGTTTCCAAATATGTAGAATGCACCTCTCTCACCATCAAGTATTGGGGTGACAACTGTTCCCCAACCTGCATGAATGAGAGTCAGCCACACTCCACCAGAGCCAAGATCTGCCTCCTGTTGGGAAGTTGTTTGAAGATGTGTATCTCTATCCTCCTACAGGAATAGCTAAAGACAGCAGTTTAAGAGTCTGATTTATCTTAGCCAGTGGAAGGGTCTGCAGCCTGTTCCCCATGTATATTCCTCCCCTTAACTACAACCCTCTCCCTCTGCACAGAGGGCTGCTATTAATGCTGGGGAGGGGGAGGGGGGATTTGCTTGATTGTGAGATCCAGGCTAAAAATAGTCTACAAGTTTCCTTCTATTAGCCAGGCTTTCAAATAATCTTGCATGGGCTTTCTAGAGCACTGGGAGTGAGTGTGAAGCTTCAGAAAGTAGCTTTGGCACTCTGGGACAAATCTCAAGTTTCTTCCAGCGTCATTGGCTTCTTGGCATGTTTCCAGTGTGTAAGATTTGCAAATTCCTTATTTCTCTAAGCCTCTTTTTTTTTTTTTAAATCCTCTGTTGAGAAGTCTGAGCCTCATTTGTAGGGATACTGTGGCCAGAGAGGAAAAGCTGGCACTTTGCAGAGACTGTGGGGGACCTATGGTGGTATCTTGTCCCACCCCATGCGGGAGTATGGGTTCTCCACAGGGTAGGCAAGGCAAGTGATCCGATGTCACCTGGACTGTTACCTTCAGGGACCAGGTAGTTCCACATTGTAGCTGTCAGGGAAGCTGAAGGCACTAGGATCCTGGGCACCTTCCAAAGGATCCACAAGTCCCCATGGCTGTGCCTCAGAAAGCCCTGCAAAGTCTCGCTCACGGATGTAGTCTTTCTCAGCCCAGACCTTTGGATGCAGCTTCATTAGGTGTCTGTGTCTTGTTCATTTTGAACATTCTTTTTTGAGTTTCTCTCACTCCATATACAGTTTCCCCATGGGCCATTCCTGCCTCACATCATGTCCAGCCCCACATCACTAGTGGTTTGGGAGCACAGAAGGAACATTTCCACAGCCACACAGGAAAATAGTTCACAGCAGACCACATCCAGAAGCAGGTCTATCCCTGTGGACTAGTCATCTGGTTTCAGGTCATCATAGGTCCCCTGCTCCATTGTCTTACACTTGATTGCCTTGACTCATTTGCATTACCTGCCTGGTCTGGGAAGGCATTGTGTGTATGTGTGTGTGTGTTTGTGAGTATGTATGAGAGAGAGAGAGATCTTTAAGTGTCTCCATTGCTCAAATGTGGCACCAAAACCAAAACCAAACCAAACTCACTTCCAATGACTTGATACCAACTCATAGAGACCCCCGTTGGGTTTCTAAGGCTTAAAACTTTATGGAAGTAGATTGCCCCATCTTCCTTCTGCAGAGCGACTGGTGGGTTTGAACCACTGACCTTCTGGTTAGCAGCCAAATGCTTATCCACTACACCACCTAGACCTGTAAAGACATAACTGAGGAACTAAACATAGATGTGAGCATGCTGGCCCTCCCCATGCAGTTGCTGAAACACCCGCCCATCTCCCAAGCAGGTTCTCACTGTGCTTACCTATAAAATAGGGCAACAGCATGCTGAATTAGAGACTCAGACCTCAGGAAGGGGCTCAATCCTGTGATTTGTTCTCATTAAATACTAACCATCAAAGGGGTGGGGTTTCAGGAGAATGGGTTTAACTGAGATAGGGGCTCAGAGTCCAGGGCAATTCCCTCTATGCAGTGAGCAAAGGGCCTGTCCAGCAGGCTTGGCTCCTTTGCTTTTCCTGGAAGGCAGGATTGTTTTTCCTTTGAAGTTGTTCAGTCTTCTTTATCTTTGCTCAGGGGTCTTGGTAACATCCCCCTTCTCCATTCCTCAAACCCTGCCCTGCAGAAACTACCAGAGACCATGGAAACAGCTCCCTTGTCTCAGAGCTCAAGACTTTGCACAATTTGCTGACAAAATGTCTCTGGACCATATGGGTGAGGGCCTCCTGACAACACTTGACAGTTTCTTTTCACTCTTTCAGCCACAGTCTGGGTAATAATAGCTAATAATTACCATTATTACTTGAATATTTAATGTGAGCCACACTTTGTGATGTGTGCTTTAAATATAGTATCTCATTTAATCCTTATAACCCCCCCTTTGAAGCACCCACATTCTCATCCCTATTGTGTACACAGGAAAACTGAGACTTGGTAGGAGTGAAATGACTGCTCAAGATCTCACAATCAGGAAGCAGTTTAGCAGGGGTCAAACTGATGACAGCCTACTCCCAAGACCCAACTCTTAATCACTGTGTCCTCCACCTAAATTGGGCTAAAGGATATGCCTGTTCATAACTTGATGACCTCAGAATACAAAATGTAAAACACAAAGGGGTACCAGACAGACCTGATCAGAGCCACCCCCATCAGTCTACATTCATGTTCTCACCATCAGTCAACTTGACCAGTGCACTGACACAGGCAGGCAGGGTCATAGTAAGGATGGACACAATTATATTGAAGCAAATAATCAAGGGTCACCAAAGACTTTCTAAATCTAAAGACACTGAGATTTGGCCCAACTGCTCATTCTCTAACTACGCAAGATTGCAGTGCATGAATAAACTGGCACCATCATGATTTTCTTCAACCAAGCCCACTCCTGGACCCTATCTGGAGACAGAAAAATCAGCACACATTTCTGGAGGGAACTTTCATACTACAGTTTTCCTTTATGGGTCAAGAGATGCATAACCGACAAAGCACTATTTAGTCATTATTTTCCTGCAGCTCTGCAAGTATCTGGAAGGCCTAGAGTGCTGAGCTCAGTCCCATTTCACAAATGAGAAGCTGAGACTTAGAATGCTTAAGTAGCTTGGCAGAGCTCACACAGTCAGTAAACAGCAGGTCTGGTGTTGGAACTCTAGACTGCAAAACCACATGGCTGTGATGCAATAGAATATCTATGGGCAATTGGCATGCAGCTCCCAAGAGAAGGGGCACAATGAGCCAACAAGGAAATGAGGTGGGATTGAGACAAAACTATTTTGAGCAAGTCCTGCTTATAATGCTAGCATGTTTTTTATCACAAATCAAGTACTGGGATCAGTACCAGGTTTTTGACCCATTAACTTGCCTCTATACATAAATAGGAGCTCTGGTGACTTTGTGACTTTGTGACTAAGGCATTTGACTGCTAACCAGAAGGCTGGCAGTTCAAACCCATCAGCCACTCCTTGGAAGGCAGGTTGGGCAATCTACTTCTGTAGTGATACTGCCTCAGAAACCCAAGGAGGGGTCACTATGAGTTGGATCCAACTCGACAGCAGTGAGCCTGTTTTTTGT